GTCAAACATTTATTTTTTATTTCTTAAGCCTATCGAAACTGAGAGCTATTGCAATGAGAATCATGATTTGAATGCACTGTTAACTCAAAAATATTCACTTTTATAATATAGATTATACATTTAATTAACTGTTATTGCACAGTGTGAACCTGGAGAAAATTGGCAAGGACATCCACTCCTGGGAAGATCGTGGCACTGTGTGTGACCTAACTGAATGCTCCAGACTTCTGTTGTTATAGAGGTGCTCACACTTGCTGAGGATCAATTAATGAAGTGTATTTGATTAGCGGGACTTGGTTACCTCCTTACCTTAAGCGTTACACGTACTACAAAAAAATGCAATTGATTGGGAATAACAATGGGGATTGGCAACTTAAAATCAGATAGCAGGGTCAGCAGATGCTGAGGTGTGTGCAATGGGAAAGTTGGCAGAGGTCACAGACCTCCAAACTGAGATTAGATTAGCTCAGAAACAGAGCACAGAGAGCTTCATGGGCTTCCATCAGGGAGCAGCTGCATCCAAGTCTTGCATCACCGAGTGCAAAGAAAAGTGTCTAATGCAGTGTAAAGCACCCCTCCACTGGAGTAGAGAAATCTGGAGTAGCAAATTACGTTTCTCCATCTGGAAATCCAGTGGATGAGTCTGGGTTTGGCATTGCCAGGAGAACTGTCTGATTTGTCTGCCAAGTGTACATTTTGGTGGAGGGGGGTTATGGTGTGGGGCTGTTGTACGGGAATTGAGCTCAGCTCCTAGTTCTGGTGGAAGGAACTCCTAATTCTTCTGCAAACCACAAGAGACTGTGGAGACTGTGAGCCAAGCCTTCCTAGAAGAGTTGAAGCATTTATAGCTGGAAAGGGTGGTCTAACATCACATTAAACCCTATAGAATGGGATGTAACTCAAGTTCCGGTTCAGAGGAAGGTCCAATCAGTGGCCGCGTTACAGGACGCACTCGATGACGCAGACTGGGACATGTTCAGAAGCAGCTCCAATGATGACGTCAACGTGTTTACGGAAGCGGTTGTGGGATTCTAGCGGATGATACCGTGGAGAAAAAGACTATCAGAATGTTTCCCAACCAGAAGCCGTGGGTGGATAAAACCATCGTGACGCTCTGAGATCCCGCACCTCTGCCTACAACACGGGACTCGCAACAGGGGACATGGACCCGTACAAAGCCGCGTCATATGACGTGCGGAAGGCAGTGAAAGAGGCGAAGCAGCGCTATGGGAGGAAACTAGAGTCACAACTCCAACAGAGTGACTCTAGGAGCCTGCCATCTCTCATTCCTCCACACATCACTCACTCACTTGGACACTAGAAGGGGGAATTATGTTAAAATGCTCTTCATAGACTACAGCTCTGCATTTAATACCATAATTCCCTCCACACTCACCACCAAGCTGGAGCACCA